CCATACACGGCATTGCTTCGATAACTTGTGTGGCTTTCGGATGTGAAAGCTAGTCAGTAGTTGGTTTATTCTTACGGACAACCCTGGGACAAAGTAGCTGACTCCGGAGGACTGGCTTGGACGGACTGGTCCCTGTATTGGGAGGGATAGGTCATGTAAGGAGGCTGCGATATTATCGAGTCTTCCCATTCATACTCTTATCATTCTGAGTGGAAGTTTCTGCTGAACGTTGCTATTCTGATAGAATTCTCATCCCAAAATAGCGACCTTAAAATGGTGCCAAGGGTCTTAAAAATTCGGGTGGATATGTGGGTACTTGGCTGGAAGTGGGGCAGTGGCAATAGCGCCACTTCTTCACGTTTGCGGCTCAGGGGTCAAATCTCGTTTTGAATCTCGCCGGGCCAACAAAGCCTTTCATCCTTCCCTTCGGGGTCGGTTAATTGGTACCAGACTGGGAGGGAAAAACACTGACTTGTACATCGGCTGGCCCCCGCAAGTCATTGTATAGGCCACATCGCATTCAAATGCCACTACGAATGTCAAATGGAAGTAGAATGCGTGCCGCATCCCAAAAGGGATTGATCAGCGCTGGGAGCATTGCCCTTTATCCTTTTTGTGTGGGTAATTTGACATTACTAATTATTTATTCGTTGTTACAGTATACAGTATAAATTACCATACTATCGTCTATTACTCTTTTTAGTATGTAAGTAGAAATGAAAGTTAGAGGGTGAAATCCAGTTCGAGCAGCGATTGTCCTGATTTCTTATGCGGTTTACTTCTTGAGCAGGTTTACCGCTGACCTGAATAGGATGAAATTCTTTGCTCAAGAGAAAGAGTAAAGTATTTCAGTGTAGCTACTTCTTCTTCCTGAGTTTGTCATTTGAGTCGAGGCTTCCCTCTTCACCCTCCTCACCAGTCTTCCTCATATCTGATGACGTAGTGCTCTCCTGCAATGAAGAACCACGCTTTTCTTTCGTTCGAAATGACAGCCGTAAACGTACGTCATCTGGTTCTGCGCTCTTCACCCTCTTCCTTCCTACCCAGTCCAACTGTTTCGTCAGATCAATTTTCCTCTCTTTAGCGATAGCTCTTAATAAATTCGGATTGCAAATGCAAGTCGCTGGTAAGTGCAGCTTGCTCCAGGAAGAATTCTTCTGTCATATGGAATTTTACAGGGTAGAAAAAGTCACTATGCACATGTCGCACGTCAGCAGTCTTTTTTTGCGCAGAGTGCCGCTGTTGATGGGAGTTTCGCGTCAAAGAATTCCTTAGATGACCCCCTCCCGGGTTAGCCTTCGAGAGGCTCCGAGATGTACTGATCTCCAACCACGTAGGCCCCAACGTCAAAGCATGGTGAAGGACGTCGTCAATGCCATCCACAATTCCAAGCGGAGGTGGGCCGGTCATGTGGCTAGACTTCACCGATGATCGCTGGACGAAGAGAGTGACTGACTGGTAGGGGAAAAACAAGGCCCAGAGGCAGACCCCCACCAGATGGGCAGACCCTCTCGTGAAGATGTACGGCCAGTTGTGGCGCAGAAGAGCCCGAAGCAGAGCGACCTGGAAGATGTGCGACCTGCGTTTCTGGCGTGCCCGGGACGAATAGCGGTCGAGAAGTAAGAGGAGTAAGAAGTCTAGCCTTCTGCAAAGGCAGAAGCAGGCCCTCCTTCACTGCCATCACTGTCTCCAGGATATGGCTTCTATCGCCGTCGCCGCCGAGCTTGAGGGTGGACTACCGTGATTGTTTCTTTCCGAATGTGCTGCATAATTTCTTATGTCGAATCACTGGTAGGCAGATTTTCAATGATGGTAGTCTGCAAAACCTTTCCAGATCAGTAGTTCAAATGACGCCGCGGTGGTCCACCATAAATCAATGGGCTCGTTGGGCTCCAACATTGCACCATGTTCCCGTGACAGTTTCTTCTGATATCGCCAGTTTGGAAGGCTAATACACTGCGTCCCATAATTATACGTCCACCTAAGAATTTCCCAAAATCTCACAGATATAGATGTTTTGAAAAAAGTCTTCAATGTAGCAATGTGTCATATATAAATGCGGGATTCACCAATGAACATCAATTTTCTATTTGAGATCACAGGAATTTTTTTCAATAATTTTTGTGTAAAAGGCCACTCAGCCGACGTCCCAAAATTATACGTCCACCTCACGTTTATCGATTACTTTTCACTTCTGTTCCACGAAACTTTTTCATTGTGGTAACACTTCACTTCTTAAGAGAACAGCATAATAAAGACTGCTGTTGGATTTTGAGAAAGGGAAAATGTCGCAAAAACTGATGAACAACGGAACCGCACCAGATTTGGTCCAGATTCACGCCAAGCTTGAGAATTTTTTCAGGGGTTTCACATGATATGGAGCTTAGAAGAGCTCTAAAAGTCTCTCATTACTTTTCGATGGAAACAAAGGCGGTGTTAGGGAATAACATTTGAAAAGCTTATTGGCCATCTTCATCATACGGCGTTGCTGCTAGAACCGTTCGAATCTTCTTGAGAACTTTATGCCTCAACGGACTTTTGTTTCATGCTTGTAAAAGAATCCCAAGATCATTCTTGATTGGGAAAATGTGAAAGACGGTCATTCATGGCAAGGCAATCGTGCGAAAACTGGGCTGATTTTTGCATGAAGGTGCAGCCGAGCCGACTGAAGTAAGGTTCGCTTCTGCCCGATATGTTTTGGCATTTGTTTGTTTCTTCTCACGTTTACCTTTCCCTTAATGGCTTTTTTCTTAGTGGAGCACTACTAAAAGAAAGAAAATGTTGAAAAGAAAGACAGACAAACACTCATGCATAGCAAGGAAAAAAGGACCCTGCTCCAGTCGGCTCGGCTGCACCTTCATGCAAAAATCAGCCCAGTTTTCGTCACGATTCCTTGCCACAAATGAACGTCTTTCACATTTTCCGATCAAGAACGATCTTGGGATTCCTTTACATGCATGAAACAAAAGTCTGTTGAGGCATAAAGTTCTCAAGAAGATTCGATGACAGAGCACCGTTGGATGAAAGTGGATGTTTTTCTGTAACACGGCCTTTGTTTCCATCGAAAAGTAATGAGAGACTTTTAGAGCTCTTCTAAGCTCCATATCATGTGAAACCCCTGAAAAAATTCTCAAGCTTGGCGTGAATCTGGACCAAATCTGGTGCGGTTCCGTTGTTCAACAGTTTTTGCGACATTTTCCCTTTCTCAAAATCCAACAGCAGTCTTATTATGCTGTTCTCTTAAGAAGTGAAGTGTTACCACAATGAAAAAGTTTCGTGGAACAGAAGTGAAAAGTAATCGATAAACGTGAGGTGGACGTATAATTTTGGGACGTCGGCTGAGTGGCCTTTTACACAAAAATTATTGAAAAAAATTCCTGTGATCTCAAATAGAAAATTGATGTTCATTGGTGATCCCGCATTTATATATGACACATTGCTACATTGAAGACTTTTTTCAAAACATCTATATCTGTGAGATTTTGGGAAATTCTTAGGTGGACGTATAATTATGGGACGCAGTGTATATAGGTGTGTCTTGATAAATAAAACAAATTAATGTTGGTTTGTGTGTGCTTGGGAAATAGGTTGAAGATCCATAACGTCCCTGATTGAAGAGTTTAGCGCTTTTTCAATTAGGGGTCTGAAATTGGGGCCTAATAAAGTGTTGCGCTCGTGTAAGTTTTGCGTTTTTATCCATAGGTTATGTGGCTGTCAATTTATTGGTGCAAGCAGTATAGATTACCTCAGGGCATTTTGAATATAAAGGTAATCAGGCTCGTCAGCGTAATCCATCCCATCAATATACTGAATTATTCGCCGCACTTCACCGGGCACCACTTTGAAGCTCTTCGGATACTGTAGTTTTATGAATTTTTCCTTCATTGTTATGACCTTAAACACAGCTCTTTAGATGCCGGCTGCAACTAATGGTAAGGAAAAACAAAGTTATGGGAATACTTCTGGCCTGAAGCTTCTCGTCTTGTGCTCAGGTGACGAGACGGCTTACCTTGTTTTTATCAGCTGCTCTCTTCCATGGGAGACTTTCGCCGTCAAAAAGGTCGAAAAGCTGAAAATTACCACTTTTTAGGAGTGAAGGAAATTTTCAACTTCTGAATTGAATGAGACCCAATTCTCATCAGCAGTGCGAGAGAGAATGGGAAAATTGATTCATAACAATTCCTATCTTCGGCCTGGTGTCAAAAGTAGGAGGTGTAGGCAGGTCAATCCTATATTGCGACAAGTACCAACGGGGGGAGGTAGTGTTTCGTTGAGTTTGTAGATGGGTTCGGTGTACGTATATACCGAGGGTGATGAAGGGGGATCTTAATGTCTTTGATTAGAATGGGTGGTCATAAAAAATTCCCGAACAGTCGCAACGGTAGGACCGACCCTGGGTGAAGGCGTTAACGTTTTTCGGACGTAGAAGTGATTGTTTGTCAGAAGTACTCATCATCAAAGTAAGGCACGCTCAAAGGAAGTGATTACGAGCTCAACGTTTAGGGGTATGCGTCACACGAAACAGTATGTGGCTTTGGCTGCCAAAGAAACGAGGGTGCAGCGCTTCCACGACAAAAGGTGCAATGGCTGCAGAGCAGTACGAGAATAGCCCCCTCACCCCATAAGCGCTCCGCCCACTACTCTACTTGGTGATTTGGACGCACAACTGGAGCAACTCGACTAGAGCATAGTTTGGCGTGGTGCCACCAAACGCGTTAGGTAAACTCGTCCATACGTCCGCCGTCCTAGCCGCTGCCCGTCCTTGAGCGAAAATCAACGGCCACACGGGGGTCCCATTTTGCGTTTTCTTGACGAATTGCTCTTTGTCGCCATCGGCGGACCGATGAGCATTCCCACGTTCCCTCTTTGTTCCCCCAGGCCTTCTCGTAATTGCTGCCTCAAAAGGAGGACTCGGTGAGGTTGTAGGTCGAACAAGCGACCCTTTCGCAGCGAACCGTACGCCGACGACGATCTGCATAGCACGGCCGTCCCCGCGCCGCTCACGGCACGTACACCAACTGGCCAACAACTCGCCGCAGGTCCTTAACCGTCAGAGAGAGGACAAACGTTGAAGAGGGTAGCACCGATGAGAGCCGCATTAGAACGGAAATTAATAGGCAAGGAAGGGATTCCGTTTCTCTGGTCTTGAGCCATTTTCTCAATTTTTCTTCCATTTGTGCATCATTAACTATCTTTACCTTAAAGGACGAATTCACGATCAGAGGGAAAATCGAATTAGGAAGAATTCACCTGGTTGAGGGACCCGCGGAGCTCCTAAGGTGTGCGAACTGAAGCACAATTTGCACAGAAGGAGTTGACCTCGCGACCTATTAAGGCTCAATCTTGGCGCGGCTGGTCAGTGCACGCCCACCGATCATCTGATCACTCGCCGCAGGTCTATACGTGGCGAGTGATTAGATAGGTGAGAGAGCGTAGTGTTGAAGAGGGCACAGCGATGAGAGTCGCATCAATGCTCAAATCAACGGGCAAGGAAGGGGTCCCATTTCTCGGGTTCTGGGCCGTTTCTCATGGTTTTTCCTTCTTTCGTGTACCACTCACCATCCCTAAGTTAATTTGAAATGGGTTGCCTTTCCATCGTGAATTCGTCCTTTAATTTCCAAGCCTTTTTGTAGTGAAATCCATCTTTAATTCTAATGGACTGTCTTCAAATTGAAGACTTCGCCTTTGAAAGGCACACTTTCAATCACTTTCGTGGACCATGCTGCACAATAAGGTGGTTGCTGCTGTGATTAGGCTGAAGAAAGGGACCACGGACTGTGTAGGAGGGAAGCGTCGTTGCGGGGAAAGATGTCCTATGAACGTCGTTATCAGGTGCCAACTGTTGGTCTATCTGCTTACTGTATCATCTGTCGTATCACTATTCGCTGTATCTGTCTGTCCTTCTCCAACATCGCGTATGTTATCTTACTCTGCTTCTCAGACTCCTCTATAGCGGAGAACCTTTCAAGCCTGTTTTTTCCCTTTAGTCATTCATTTTATTGATTTATTTATCGTGCACTCAAGATGTGCCATGTAAACATAATAGTGCTAGTATAACACAGAATAAAAGTAATGCCGTCTATGTAAATTATTAACCTACCCTTGTCTTAAATTACTGCCCACCTCGCTCTCCCACCTTCATATTCAAGCCGCACTGCTACATCAAATTGATCGCATTTTGCACGTTCAGCACGTTTCGAAAATGAACGCTTGCAAAACGGCAGAAAGTGCTCACCATATAAAGCCAACACTCAAGGTCATCCTTCCGACCTTGTTCTATCCCCAAATGGCAAGCCCTTGAAGCGAAACGTATCGTGCCAAGAAACTTCACTGCTACACGCGCAACTCTGAAATGATTAGGATTTTGCTGGGAGCTGTTATTTAATAGTTCAGAAAAATCTCGAATCATATCTGCAGGATGTTGTGGTCGCTCTGCAGCCTTCGATTTTGCCTTTTTCTAATTTAGGCGCGCCTTCTGCACTCGGGCAACTTTAACGTTTTCGAGAGTGGCTGTGCATACAGCAGTAGGTACATCGGTACAACACGTAGTAGTAATGACAGCCACTAACTTGAAAGATCCCATAGTAATTATTATACACCAGTTTGGCTGCGCACGCATTCGCGTGCATCACACGGGGGTTCAAACAGGATGATCACTGTTCTTTTCTAGATTTTAGTTTTCTTTCGGTACATCCCATTTACACCGACTATTAGGTCAAACTATATTTTCTATTATAACTATAAGGCGGTTTCGGAGAGGGTCTTTCTTCCAAGACAGGGTTTTTTTCGGAAGGTGGTAAGGCTGAAAAATTATGTCTGTGACCAATGTTCTCTCTCTATTACTGCAGAGCTGCTGAGTGAGATTCCAAGGTACGGCTGCTTTGGAGACACTCCTCTTTCGAAATTCATGGGTAACCCCGCCCACTTTTGCGCATGTCCTGCCCACTGAGACTTCATTTCTTTCGCTGACCTCTATACTTTTTTCCTGGTGTTGAGACTTCATTTCTTTCGCTGACCTCTATACTTTTTTCCTGGTGTCCAAGACTTCTTGGAACCGAGTAATAATGTTTCGTGCATAACTCCGCCCACTTTTGTGCAAGCTTAGCCCACCATTAGCATTTAACCCCTTTCCCTCCGGCAACCCTTATCCACATTTCTCCCGGTCGCCTAGCCGTCTTGGAACCGAGTTATGAGAGTGGTGGCAAACTCCGCCCACTTCGGGGTGTGCCACGCCCAGCGTTCACATTCAACCTCTACTCCTCCTCTCACCTCTACACATATTTTTTCAGGTCTCTAAGTCATCTCGGAGCCGAATTATGAGGTCTTGTAGAAGACGTTATGAGTCATGAATTTCTGAGGCAAACCCCGCCCACTTTGGTGCACTTAGCCCACCAATAGCATTTAACCCCTTTCCCTCCGGCAACCCTTATCCACATTTCCCGGTCGCCTGGGACTTCTAGGAACCGAGTTATGAGAGTGGTGGCAAACTCCGCCCACTTCGGGTGTGCCACGCCCAGCGTTCACATTCAACCTCTACTCCTCCTCTCACCTCTATACACATTTTTTCAGGTCTCTAAGTCATCTCGGAGCCGAATTATGAGGTCTTGTAGGGGACGTTATGAGTCACGTATTTTGTGGCAAACCCCGCCCACTTTGGTGCATGGGTCGCCCACTGATATCAGTTGACCTATCATCTCTTCCCCAACCTTATTCTACTTTTTTCCCATCTCCGGAACTTCTAGGAACCGAGTTATGAGAGTGGTGGCAAACTCCGCCCACTTCGGGTGTGCCACGCCCAGCGTTCACATTCAACCTCTACTCCTCCTCTCACCTCTATACACATTTTTTCAGGTCTCTAAGTCATCTCGGAGCCGAATTATGAGGTCTTGTAGGGACGTTATGAGTCACGAATTTCTGTGGCAAACCCCGCCCACTTTGGTGCATGGGTCGCCCACTGATATCAGTTGACTATCATCTCTTCCCCAACCTTCT